CAGCAGGAACCAGAGCCCTGCCCCACGAGCAGTGGGGTGGTGGGGACTCCCCAGCAGCCCAGATGATGCCAGTCCCCCAGGGGTGCTACCCTGCACTGGCTGGAGGCCCCATGGGGCAGCAGTAGCACTGGATCCGGTGCTGGTCCCAGTAGGGCTCAGATGGGCATCCAGGAAGGGTCTGGCCGCAGCACAGACAGATCCTGGGTGCACAGGGCAGTGTCCCCACATCACTCGGAGAAGGGAGGCTGTGAGGCCACTTCACGCTCCCCAGAGCTGATGTCGTGGGGCCAGCTTGGTGGCAGGAGTCAGCCTGGACATTTGGAATGACAACAGGAGCTAAATTGGGATGGCCCAGAGAAGGGGAGAGCTGGTGGGAGGGGACGTGTGACTAATGGGGATGAACAAGGCGACAGGGAGGATTCCTGGCTGGGGAGGGAGGATGGCCCACAGCTATGTGGGGAAGCACAGCACTGGGGTTGCTGGTGAGGCTCCTGGAGACAGGGCAGGACTGTGGAGCTGCCTGAAACTTCCCCAGGGCTCATCCTACTCTATCTATGGGCCAGGGTTTGCCCAAGCAGGTGCAGAGCTGGGTGCTGGGTGATCCTGCTCTCCAGCCAAGGTGAGAGGTGCCCAGCTGAGCTCAGGCACAGTGTGTGGCAATGTCCCCAGGACACCCTGCTGTCACCCTGGGGCAGCTGGGCAGGACAAGGGCACAGCAGGGGATGCTCTGCCCCCCAGCTGGCACCCATCCCTCTGCACCCAGGGGTGCTCAGCTGGCACCCAGGCATCTCTAGGCCTCCCTCTTGGTCCTCCCTGGTGCCTGGCTGTCCCCACACGTGTGGGGGTGAAGGAGCCGAGCAAAGGGGAGCAGCCCTGCCCCATGCCATGGCGAGGCAGCTCCTTTCCCAGCGATGCCGCGGCGGCGCGCTGTGATTAATCCTGTCAGAGCGAGCAGGGGCTGAGCGGCTGCGCGGCTGGCCCTGGATGGAAGTCACCCTGCTGTAATTAGCTCCAGCAAGACTATTAGAAAAATTGTAGATGCTGGAGAG